AATGACTTCGGTTTGAGACAAAACGCTTGGGATTACGTTTGATTGAAACTTCGAAAACTAAATGCATGACTGTCTTCTTTGTAGTGTCTTGTTTGTAATTGATTTTATTATTGATTCTTTTGATTAGAAGTTCCTCACTCTCATATTACGTAAAAGTCTGACCGAAATTAATGATGCTTTGAATAAACGCTCATTATTAAAATTCAATGAAGCACCGAACTAGCATGAAAAAACCGTCCAGAACAAAATATTTGGTAGATAAGAGAACAAGTTTCTCAGACTACGAGGGGCATTCAATAAGTAAGTACCCCCCCTCTCTAAAATCGATAGGAATGGACCAATTTTAGAAAACTTGGGCTCAAAATCTTCCTTAGGATATATTGAGCTCAACAAAACAAACCGCAACAAAATCGGACCATGTGCGGCCGAACGCGAGCCGTTTGAACGCGCCGAGGCGCACCCCGCTCCCGCCGAATCCGCGGAGATTTGAAGTCCGCAACATTAGAAGAGCATCTCTGCCAACGCTTCAGTCGTTCATCACTGACGAAAAATCAAAGAAGTTTTTGTAGAATAAGATGCTTACCTCACCTCTCCACATAACCAGCTCGATCCAAGCAGGCCTGAGACTGATTGTGAGACTAAGAGAACAGCTTTTGGATACCGCGCCTGTAGAAGTCTTTCAACTGGCTGCATGAGGATGAAAGTGTTGACGGCTTGTTTGACCTCTTCCACTGATTCAAAATGAACTCCCCCGCGTTCAGATACTAGATACGGTAATAAATGGCAAAAAAGACCACCATTTATTCCCCTTTCTATAATCTGAACTCGGGGGAACTCATTTTGAATCAGTGGAAGAGGTCAAACAAGCGGTCAACACTTTCATCCCCAGCCAATTGAAAGACTTCTACAGGCGCGGTATCCAAAAGCTGTTCTCTTAGTCTCACAATCAGTCTCAGGCCTGCTTGGATCGAGCTGGTTATGTGGAGAGGTGAGGTAAGCACCTTATTCTACAAAAACTTCTTTGATTTTTCGTCAGTGACGAACGACTGAAGCGTTGACAGAGAAGCTCTTCTCTTGTTGCGGACTTCAAATCTCCGCGGATTCGGCGGGAGCGGCGTGCGCCTCGGCGCGTTCAAACGGCTCGCGTTCGGCCGCACATGGTCCGATTTTGTTGCGGTTTATTTTGTTGAACTCAGTATATCCTAAGGAAGATTTTGAGCCCAAATTTTCTAAAATTGGTCTATTCCTATCGATTTTAGAGAGGGGGGATACTTACTTACTGAACGCCCCTCGTATTTGGACTGCGTACAGCAAAAAATATACTCTTAAAATTTCTTGCATCGGGTTTTTGCCGCTTCCCCCTTTTGAATCTTATGCAAACTCAAATAAACCGTTCGTTAGTGTGTTTAAAATTATATACATTCATTAATTTTTAACGGATTAAATATGTTGTCAAGCATGTTTGAGAACAAGAGTCTTAGTTTATTGTAGCCACACCATTTCACGTATGAATCCACAGAAATCTTGCTTTTCTCACTTAATTTTCACTCACGTTAACGCGTTAGCTTTGCAAAGGCGGTATTTTGGTCTTACATGTTGATTCGATTATGTGTGCCATCAGTATTTAGAGCATTATATCTTCAAGCTTCATTAGAAAAACCAAACGGAACATTAATGTGAATCTTATCGTCGTATTGGCACCACAATCATCCAAGAGGAAAGCTGGACCAGTTTTTCGGTACTCTAAGCATATTAATTTTGTAAGGAGAAGCTTAACTTATTCTTATACATTCATACATCAGTGGCGCACCCAATAGAGAGAGATTCAAGAGAGATGGAAACGAGAGATTACTAAGTTCTCTGTCCCGATAACTTCTTGAAGATTTAAATTAAATTATATCAGAAGCAATAAATATCAAATCATGGGTGGAGTTGGAGGCTCTGTTGGTGCCATCCTGTCCATTAAAAAATAATTGACGCAAAGTGGCTCTCCCAGTCCGTACTTCTCAGCGAACTCCATTGTATGAAAATTAACCCGCTCCTTCCCGTGAACTCTGCAACATAATGTCAGTGATCAAACGTTATTTAGTTTAAAGCCAATTAATGTTGAATTAGGCGACTTGAAAGTATTTAAAGAAGATGATCCGGTGCTTATTTGAGCTTTGACACAAATTTTTAGAATAATTAAATTACTGACCTGAGAAATATGAGTCCATAATTTTCATTTACCCCTTAGTTTCAACTGAAAAATGTGTGGATCTAACTGAATTGACAATACAATTTTTGCTACTTACTCTATTTATTTAAATAATTGTACAAAAACGGCCTAATTTACCCGAAGGCTAATATAATGACGACCTACATGGATACAAAAACGTGCAGCCCCATCCACGGAGCTCGTTTCAAGTAGCTAAGTATATTCATAAGTACTCTTTTTCATACAAAGGGATCGCGATTCAAATCATGAACTTTACGCTCCAAAAGGAAAATCTATGCCCATGGTTCTGAAAACCCGTAAATCAATTACAGTTTATCAAAGTCTCTGATCTTTTTCATGTTATTAATGGACAAATGACGAATATTGTATGGTTTGACGTTTTTACGGAAACAATCATGAGAGGGTAAAGCAAAAAGAAAACGAGAGCTAATTTTTGAGGAGTTATTTTTGCTTTGACAATTAGGAACGAAAATAAATTATTAACGGCATACTTCGAAATACGAATGCCTATAGAATTTAGCCATCGGAATATTTATTTGAAACTGCAAACAAGTCAATATTTTTTCTCTTTTGACTAAAAATATCTCTGATAGGACTTTATAAAATACTTACGTTTTCGTCAATTTTTTCTCGTCGAAGTGCATTTTTGTCTTGTTAGGTTGAGCAAATATAAAAAATATGAACCTGTGAAGCCCTGAAAAAAAATTAAGCTGGAAGTTATCTAAAGCCATCTCGTAAAAAGACAAACAAATGTTTAATACAAAAAAACGTAAAAAAGACAATTTTTCGTTTCACAAAAAGCACTTATGAGTGTTTTCAGTTTGCTTTTAAAGGAGGCCAACGCATAAAGTTTTCTTTTGTAAATTGTTTATTGAATAAATATGCTTCGGTGCATGCCATTTGTTGAAAGGAATAAGGACTAAATTTAACATTGAGAAAGCCAGTAATTTATTTATTGTTCCACCTGTAGCTACTTTATCTTAAAAAAGAAAGTTTCACAATATCATTTTTTGGGCGTGCTACAACTGCTACATACATGTCACACAAGATAGTTTCAATATTCCTAGGTTGCAATTTCGTTTATTCCGTGTAGCAAAATGTAGAGTACAAACGGATATAATTACATGAAGGATTTTTCTCTCTAAAAACGCCGTTATACATGTCAAATATAAGATTCTGAGCCGAGACCGCTTTTTACAAGGTTATGTTCTAGAATCTATTTACTGAATCCTGCCCACGGATGTCATTGGTGTGTGGATCATGATGGCAGACCCTGCTGCTCTTTGTTTTAGTGTTTTTTTTTAATATAGAATTTAATATGATTTTACGACGTGATCAATAATTTTGAGTTTGCTCGAGCAGAAAATTTATGACCGCATTTAGTGGTTAAGACTAAAAGAATGCTGATTCGATATCTTTTTAGTAAGCCCTACGTTTCCAAGTCTCTATCTCAATTTGTTCAAAAAATATACGGAGGCAATGCCTGGTGCTGGTGGTGTGGGACTTTTGGATCACCCAGTATAAACCCGTATTTCATAATTCGTGGTTTCAGCCATTGAAACAGTTGCGAACTTACGACCCTCATTCTCGGACCTCTATCGTCTATTTGATATCATCAGGCCCGCCACAAGGGGGGGGGGGATACTGGGTCTTTGGTACCGGGGCCCGGGCCCTGGAGGGGCCCGTGACGCAGGTGACGAACCACAACGAATTCACGTGTAACCCTTGTCTCGTAAGGAAACGTGAAAAAATTACCCTAAAAATTCCGCAAAAGGTGAATAAAGTTTCAAAAACACACTAGGGCACCATACAATTTTTCTTACTTTTTTAGAGATTTCTATCTATTTTCAAGATTTTAAGTAGGTATATATAGAATGATATTTTTAGTAATTGCGTTTCATTTTCTTCCGTTTTCGGATGCTTAGAGGCTCCTGTCTGGGCATCCTTGACTTCAATGGCTCAACTCCCTCGCCATGGACGTACGAAAGGGGAGTCCAGGGGGGCTCGACTCTCCTAGAATTGAAAAGTTTCATCTGCCCCCCTCAAAATAAATTTATAGATGTTTTGAATGCAACAATTCGAAAGTATTTGGTGCTGAAAGTAAAAAAAGGCGTAATTATTCTGCAGAAATTGATCCAAAATCTCCATTATAAGAGCTTCAAAATGCGTCCAAATAGATTTATAACTTCAAAAATTTTCCGAGGGGAAGGGAGGCTCCCGGGACCCCCCTCTGCGGCTGCGCTAGGGGCCCGGGCCAGGAAACTGGTACCAGGGCCCGAGATGAGATGTGGCGGGCCTGGATATCACACACTCAAATCTCACGAACCTTTCTCAGGCAGTTTACCAGCTGCGTCCATATCAAAGACTTAAAGCTCACCGTCCTCGTTGGTATACATAGGTCCAATGTATTCTGCAAGTGTATCGCCTTGATTAATCTGATTTTCAGGGATGTTGACGATGTGCCAGTGTCTGTATTCTCTTTCATCGTGGTGTTTTCTGGTCGGCATATCCAATCCTATAAACCGAAGAAAAGCATCTCGTATTTATTTTTCTTCATCAAGTGAAAATGAAGCTCATGCTACATCCAGATCAAAGTGTCATCCAAAAAAATAAAATTAAAGAAAACCACAGGCCGATTTCAGAGACTAGTTTTTTTTCGTACAGATATTTTGAATAAAAATTGATATTTTTCGTCGGATATTTTGCGCAAATTGATTCGATGAACTCAATTCCCTTACAAAGCGTCTAACAGCCTACAATGCGCCTTCAACAATAAAATATCAGTCATTACGAACTGCTTAATGTCTGATTAATGAAATTATGGTGCTTTTTGTTGCCTTATTCTTACAATTAAATACCATATCTAATATACCACTCAAATTTTCAACATCCAGTTGTTTCTAGCTCCAGTCAAGTTCTCTAAATAGTCAACTTCTTGATTAGCAGTTATTTGAAAACAATGAGAAATGCAATTGAGAGGAATATTTTACGTGTTTTCTTTCCTCGCTGAATGGAGAGAAGTTTGTAAGAGAGCTTTAAAAAGACATTGCAGCTTCACCTGTAAAGGTCATCGTGTAGTAGACATCTTTTGAGCAAGGGTAGTTGAAATAGGTAGGCATGTCTTTAACCTCATCAGGGGAAAACAAACCAAGGCCAAAGTTTACTTCTCTCTTTCCGTACCTTATCTGTGTGGGAAAATCATTTAAAAACATGACAGTAATAGCCTTAGGAATTTTTATTTTCTTTTGACGAATCGTATAGATCCAGGACTTCAAGTACTTCAACGTAATGAACACATGCAGCACGTGGTCCTTCTTTTAACGATTGCATTTCTGTGTCCCGCATAACGATATTTATGTCGCAGGCAAATAGTAAAATCAGGCATTTTGCCAAATGCCTAGGCAAATAGTCAAATATGCTAACTTGGATTGAAATTCTGATACTATTCCTAATTTTAGACAAAATAATTCGTTGTTCCTGTGAGAGAAAATTCTCAGTAAAAAATTGCATCACACAATAGTGTTTTAATCAATTTTTAGCTCCCAAACAGACACTTATCTTAACATTTTTAGCATTTCATGATACAGAATTTTTAGAATTTCAACATTTAAGAACATGAGAGGTGATTGAAGAGGAAGAGCCAAAAAAAGTTCGTAGGTTTGAAGAGTTATTCTTCCCAAAATATTGAAAACCTGTGAACTCCTCGCCATAATTTTTCAGAATGCCGTAAACTGTCAAAATTTGACTACTGGCCTTGGCATTTCACAAAATGTCTGATTTCACTATTTGCCTGGGACATTTATATGGATCTCAACAGTAGACGAACAGAGATCAAAATCACCATAGCTTCTTCTTCAAGCATGAAACATTTGACTTTAAGGTTCCTTCTCTTGATATTTCTTAAAGTTATTCTCTGGTGCACCTTTAGAACAGTGGCGATGAGTAAATGATCGATTATCGATATTTCTCTATTTGAAGCCATGGTGAAGAATCGAGTATTTAGGTGTTCGTTGCAAATACCCTGATTATCAATAATGTTTCTTGGGTTTAAATGGCAGATCAAACTATAATATATCGAAGAAACGCCACGTCACTGATACAGAAACGCATATTTATGAATTCACTTGAGAAACATGGTCCCAGTTAGACAGCAATATTTTTAAAATATTTTAAAAATATGCACCTTATTTCAAAAATATTTACAGAAAATATTTTCTTCTTTATATTTTTAAAATATTTCAAGAATGTTTTAAAAGTATTCCAAAAATATTTTTCAAAATACTTTTAAAATATAAAATATGACATATTTTTGAAATATTTGTGGAATATTTTTAAAATATAAAATGTAAACATTTTAAAAATATTATAAAATATTATTTTTAAAATGTTTTAAAAATATTTTAAAAATATTAAAAGTAAACGTTTTAAAAATAATATCTTATAATATTTTTAAAATATTCCAAAAATACTTTAAAAATATAAAAAGTAAACATTTTTAAAATAATATTTTATAATATTGTTAAAATATATCATAATTATTTTTGTTAATATTTTAAAAATAATATTTCATAATATTTTTAAAATATTAAATTTTTTTAAAATGTTTGAATTAATATTATAAAAATTATAAGAAAAAAA